GATTTCTTGAAAATAATATTTACTACTAATAACAATATATGCTGCTGACAAAGAGAAGAACATGCATCACAGTAAATATACCCAAATCTACTTTATCTTAAGTTGCACATGGGAAGTATCACCCCAAATAGTTTTATAGATACCGTACAAATTTTATTTTATAGCATGATTATTAAGATGAAGCAGCAATTGTGATCCACAAGGCTGTTGGTGTTTTCCTTATCTTATTTTTTCCGAACTTGATAAAACCATACAACTCCATAGCAAATTAAATGAAACTTTTTCAATAAAACAAAAAATAAATGAATTTGGATGTGTTATAGAAAACATTATTTTTTTCATTTCACAGCATCCTACAGGATAAAAAACAAGATAATGCTAAAGACCAAACAACGCTGTTTTAATCATTTCCACATCTGAATCTGATCTCAACATTCTGTGAGAAAGACATTGATTTTGGAACTAATTCAGAAATATTACCTTTGAACTTTTATTTCTTAGATATCCCTGGGACACTGCGACTTGACATTGGCCACAGGACAAGTCAAAAGACAGATGGGACTATAGTCAATGAATGGGTGGCCAGTCATTCTCTCAGCCCAACTTACATCACAGGTGTTGTGGAGAAAATAGGAGGAGGAAGGACTATTAGGTATGTTCACCGCCTGGAGTTATTTATGAAAATAATAAAAGTGGGATATAAATAAATGCTAAATATATTTTAAAAGTGAATTAGTCAAAGAGCAAAATAATAATGAAGGATCACTTGGGGGAACCTGAAAGAACTAACTAGTAGTCAGCAGCTACCGTGTTTCTCATATAATAAGGCCAGGTCTTATTTATTTTTTTGAGCCCCGAAAAAATGGCTAGGCTGTCTTTTCGGGGGTGACTTAATTCCTCCCCCCCTTGCATCTTTGGGCGGGTGGGCGGCGACGGCTTGGATGTTGACCTCAGTGTTGGTGGGGCACTTCGTATCGGGGTCAACGCAGGCAGCACCATATCCGGGTGTGCAACAAAAGTACTTCCTAATGGCAAGGCCCCCCACCATTCCCTTCCCTTCGCATGTTTTAATATAGGCCTTAATTTGGGGGGAGGGGCTTAATTTCATTTCATGCCTATAAAACATGCTGGGACTTCCTATTGGAGGAGGCCGTATTGTTGGAGAAACAGGGTAATTGTCCGGAGGATTTCATTTGTGAGAGATGGAATATTTTCAGAGTATTATGCTGATAAAATAATCCAAAGTTTAAAATATAAAGGAAAAAAGAATTAAAAGGTATTGTGCAATACTCCCATGGCATAGAATGAAACAAAACAAGTAAAATTTAAGCCCTTATCCAAATGAATGCACTTGAAAAATAAAAAAGAACATCGGATGATATTTCAATCTGATATTTCTAGAAGGGAATATTGCTTTTGGCAAATCTAAATAGCTTTATTTTTTTCCTGGTCTACAAGTTCACTAAGAACTATATTTAAATGCATTTAATTCATTAAAGAAGTTATTTATATCTAGACCACGGTTGTCAAACTCAAGGTCCGCGGGCCAGATCCAGTTCCGCTGCCAGTGACAATGTGGCCCTCCCAAGCTCCATCTTCGCTGGCAGAGGGTTGCAAGAGGCCATCACAGCCGAAAACAGGCACCCCCGACACGAGTGATGTTGACCTGGCCATGTCCACCCCAGCCCCCCGAAGTCAAACACAACCCTGATGAGGCCCTCAATGAAATCAAGTTTGACATCCTGACCTAGACTAAGAAATAAATACATCTCTGTCTTCTTTTAGTAACTAACTACTTTTGATTCAAACTTTGAATTACAGTATATTTCCATTCTTTAGGCTTAAATGTAATAACCTTGCTTTTGTTTTTTAATAAAAGCATTGCATTATTCTTTTCTGCCAGATGACTATCCAGCTTGTTTTTCATGATTTCCAGCAAAGGAAAACTCACTATTTTGTGTGGTAATCTTTTCCATTGGCTGGCAGTCTGTTACAGTCAGGAAGTTCCTTCTAACATTCAACCAAAAGCTTCTTCCTTGTTCACCTATTGGTTCCAGCCCTGTTCTCCAGGCCAGTGGAAAATAAGTTGAGTGCCTCTTTTGTGTGACAAAATTAGAATGGCACAGCAATATATCTGCAAGTGTTTGGGTCTATGTGTGAGTTAGGACAAGCTTGTGGTGCTATGCTTCTGTGATAATTTCTTCCACATTTGTATTTAAAACAGATATATTTTCAAATAAAGTTAATAATTTATTAAAACTTCTATGCCACCTAATTCTTGTCAATTTAAGGCAGGTCCACAACCAAAGAAATTATAATAAATCAATAAAACAAAGATAAAAGATGGCAGATGTACAGAAAGTGAGCATGGTGTTACAACTAAAGCTCAATGTAATATTGTTTGCTGCCCTGAATTATTGGATATGAGATGGGCAGCAAATAAATTTTATAAATAAATTAAATAAATAAGATATACCATGCAAAAAAGATTGTTATTTTCATTATGTTGAAAAAGGAAAAAAAAGCAACAGTAATTTTTGAGCTTAGTAATAAAAATTCTACCATATTATTATAATAGAATAGAATAACAGAGTTGGAAGGGGCCTTTGAGGTCTTCTAGTCCAACCCCCTGCTCAGGCAGGGAACCCTAAAATGGTTGTCCAATCTCTTCTTTAAAACTTCCAGTTTTGGAGCATTCACAACTTCTGGAGGCAAGCTGTTCCACTGATTAATTGTTCTGTCAGGAAATCTCTCAACTCTAGGTTGCTTCTCTCCTTCATTAATTTCCATCCCTTGCTTCTTGTCCTGCCCTCAGGTGATTTGGAAAACAGATTGACCCCCTTTTCCTTGTGGCAACCCCTGAGATATTGAGCTATCATGTCACCTCGTGTTCTTCTTTTCATTATTCTAGCAGGCGTTCTTTGTATGTTTTAGCCTCCAAGTCCCCTAATCATCTTTGTTGCGCTTTGAACTCTTTCAACATCTTTTTTTACATCGTGGTGACCAAAATGCTGTGCAGTATTCCAAGTGTGGCCTTGCCAAGGCTTTATAAAGTGGTATTAACACTTCATGAAATCTTGATTCTATCCCTTGTTAATGCAGCCTAGAACTGTGTTGGCTTTTTTGGCAGCTGCAGCACACTGCTGGCTTATATTTAAATGACTGTCCACTACAGTTAATAATTTATTAAACTTCTATGCCACCTAATTCTTGTCAATTTAAGGCAGGTCCACAACCAAAGAAATTATAATAAATCAATAAAACAAAGATAAAAAAGGCAGATGTACAGAACTCCAAGATCCCTCGCACAGTTACTACTATTGAGCCAGTTACCATCTCCGCCAGGGGTCCCCAAACTTGGCAACTTTAAGACTTGTGGACTTCAACTCCCAGAATTCCGCAGCCAGTTATGCCAGCTATGCTGGCTGAGGAATTCTAGGAGTTGAAGTCCACAAGTCTTAAAGTTGCCAAGTTTGAAGACCTCTGATCTATACCACACCTGTGCATTTGTTTTTCTTGCCTAAATGTAGAACCTTATTTTTTTTCACCACTGAATTTCATTTTGTTAGACAGCGTCCAATGTCCAAGTCTGTCAAGATCCTTCTGTAGCTTAAGCCTATCTTCTGGAGTGTTGGCTATTCCTGCTACCTTGGTGTCACCTGCAAATCTGATGAGTTCCCCATCTATCCCCTTGTCCAAATCATTGATGAAGAGGTTCTACATACTTCTGCTTTTCTGCCAGCATTTGTACTTTTAAACTTCCATATGCATTTCACCTGTTGTATGCTGCCATCATGCCACTTCAAAGCTCTAAAAACAGCATGGCAAACACATTAATGCTCCATATCATTCCAATATTGGTGTATTAGTGATTATGTGTCAGATATACAGCGTAACATACTTATATCTACTTTTTTAAATGGATAAGGAAAAATCTTAAGTGTCCTGGCCACAAGGCCACTATCCTACTTGCTCAACATGCTGCTGTCACTGCTGCTGTCAATCAAATAGGATTGATGCCGTCAATCAAATAGGAGCAAGTCCTATGGAGAGCTTGGAAAGATCAGCCTGTGATTTATGGCATGTCATAACTTTCTGCTGCTATTGACCTACAGCATTTGGTCCCTACCAATATTACTTGATTACTTCTTCATGTAGGTGTGCAGTAGAATAACAGTCTTTCCCTGCAGCCTGCAAAATGTTTTTACTTGTCCTGTTTATTCACTACCTTCATGGAGCAGGAAGTCCCAACCCTTACAGTAGTGATTATGATAGCTAAACGGAATCTTCCAGTTGTTCTGTTCACCAAACCTACGGACAAGATTATAGTTCCTCCTACCCTCCTACTCAACATGTTGACCAAAACCTCTCAAAAGCTCCAGCCCAATAACATCCATAGACACCAGATCTGGGAAGACTTTGTTTTAGTTTGGTTGGCTTTTTAACGTTGCATCGTTGTTGCCACATGCCGGGTGCAGGAACACCCTTTCCAATATTTTTTTCCATTAACAGTTTTAATTTGGATCAGAACAGGTTAACAAGCCAACCCGCTTTCCCAAACGCCCCCCAACTCTTTCTCTGCACTGAGGAAATAGGGAGGAGAAAGCGAGCCATAAAAACCTTTATACCCAACTCAAAACATCAGAGATAGTAAAGGAGACGGGAGTTAAGAGTTCTTTCTAATAGGGGGACAAACCAACCAACCAACCACCAAAACAGAGCAGAGAGCCAACTCCGAGCCCCCTCCCATTTTTACTACCTAAGAGGTACAACAAGGAGTAGAAGGGAAACGTTACACTTCCCTGCTGCATCAAGAGCGACGGCCTTGAACTGGGTGGGCTCGGAAGAAAGTTTTTCTATCTCGCCGCCTTTTCCCCTCCAGAGAACCGCCACCTTCCAGCCCACCCACCTCCCTTCCCCGGAGCTACACAGCCGAAGAAGGCCCTCGGGCGTGAGGTTAGGCGAGGAGAGGCCAAAGGCAAAGAGGCGCGTTTGGTTACCTGAGGCCAGGTTATCATTGATCTTTAAAGGCACCCTCAAGATGTAGACGAGAAAAAGCAAGGCGAAGAACCAGAGAGTCCACAAGTACGTCCAGGACCAGAGGATGCAGGATTGAAGTTGCTCCAGAAAACCACCCCCGGTTTCGGCCATGTTTGGGGGAACAAAAGGGAGCCGGGGGGCGGCTTGAGAGGGACAGGGGAAGCCACACAAGTCCTGCTGCAGCTCCCTCTCTTGCTACCTCGACCTCGCGCCGTCGACTCCTGAGGTGATTCATGTCTTCCCAAAGTTAACGCGTCCCGCTCTACCTCCGCCCCTCTCTCTCTCTCTCTCAGGGTTTCCACGCGAACATCTATTTCAGACTCGGCCTCAAGCCGTAAACAAACCCAGCTGTAAGAGGAGCCTCTTTCCCTCCCAACCTCCTGGCCTCCTTCCTAACAACTCTTGGTTAGCACCGGCATATGCAAGGCTACCCGCCCCACGCCCGAGGCCAAAGTCAACACGGTTCCTGTGTCTGCGGCGCCTCAACTTACAAACCGATGGCAGAAACAGGCAGGAAGCCAACGCGAAGGGAGTCGTGGAGAAGAAACAGCCTCCGCTCTTATTTTCATTTTAGTTGCGGTTTTTTTCCCCTTTCCGTTTTTCGACGGCAGCCTGGTTTCTCTCCCTTACCATCCCCATTTCATCAGGAAAGAAAACTTTGAATGAAGCTACATACAAACCACAGGCCAATAAAAAGAACATTTAGCCTTTTAAAGTGGGAGACGGAGTCTATTTCCCAAATTCTTACAAGCTAGAGAACCATCCCCCCCCCAAAATGGGGCTGAAATACGTTCGCCCTTTCCCCAATAAAAGAATTTTTCCCCAATAAAAGAATTAACCTAGTGATTATAGAACTTGCGGGGCCAAAAACCCTCAGGTGTGTATACTAGGATTTCATTGCAACCTGTTGAAGCCGAAACTGCATCTTCTTTCCATCCTGAATGACAACCACCTCCCAAACCCATTGTGATTTGAGGGAGAGCAGCACTTTGATCTTGGACTCTCACATACATTGGGAGAAAACCCAGTGTTTGGTAACCTAGGACTCCCTCAAAGAGTGAATGGGCTGACTCGACTCCCAACATATCAAAGCCCCCCAATTGCTGAAAAAAATTGTATGATCAATAGCCAGATAAACCCCGTTGAGCCATTTGCTAACAGGGTTGTGTGTTGAGTCCCTTACTCTATACTCTTTATGTGCGTGACTGAATTCCTACTCACGTTAGGAATACTATTGCTAAATTTGCAGATGATACAACAGTGGAGGGACTTATCTGGGGGAGGGGATGAGTCTGCCTACCGAGATGAGGTGGACCGGTTGCTTTCGTGGTGTGGAGACAACAACTTGGTTCTCAATACCAATAAGACCCAAGGAGCTTATAGTGGATTATAGAAGGAACAGATCAGACATCCAGCCCTTGCTTATCAATGGAGACCGAGTGGAGCAAGTGGCCAGTTTTAAGTTTCTGGGTGTTACCCTAAAAGAGGACCTGACCTGGGGTGCCCAAATTGCAGCCCTGGTCAAAAGGGCCCAGCAGAGATTATACTAACTGAGGCTTCTCAGAAAACAACTACTGGACGAGAAACTGCTGGTGACCTTCTACCGCTGCACCATAGAGAGCATTTTAACATACTGCACCTGTGTATGGTTTGCCAATTGCACAGGGGCAGATAGGAAAGCACTCCAGAGGGTTAATGTCATTGCCCAGAAGATCATTGGTTGCCCTCTCCCCTCTTTGGAAGAGCTTTATAGCTCCCGCTGCCTTAAGAAAGTTCAAAACATCATCTCATCCTGGGAACCCATTTTTTTTGAACTATTACCATCTGGCAGATGGTACAGAATAATAAAAACAAGGACAAATAGGGCTGAAAAACAGCTTCTATTCCAGGGCAGTAGCTCTTTTGAATTCTGCTGTATAGTGCAGTGTTCGTGTGGTGTCGGGGGTTTCCAATTCAATGTGTGAAGGGTGAAGGATGTGTGTTTTGTGTTTATTTTCACGCTCCTGGTCACGATGTGCACTGAAGATGGTGTTTGATTTCGTTGTACGAGGAGCAATGACAATAAAGTAAACTAAAGAGAATCTTTGTGTATCTCCCCCTCCCGTCTGCTTTTTCTTTTGCTGAACTAACATCGCTGTCAAAGGGGGCAAAATGTCAGTTCTACTTGGCTGAGCTTGGCCACCACACAGGTATCCTGCCATCAAAAACTGGAAAAGGGGGGTGGAATAGAAGGACCATAAACCTATGTGTGTACGTGATGGGAAATCTGGAGGCGGGGGGGGGGGGAGGAGAATGACAGGTGATAAAGACCAGAGCAGCTGGATCTAGCTTGTACCAGTATCCCAAGGCCAGGCAACCTGAGAAAATATGCGGACTACCCCAACATCTCAGCATTCTCAAAACATTTTGGCAAGCTCCATTTGCATGGAATTGGATTGGTCCCCGGGCGGAATGGGGGGGGGGGGAGGGATAGGCTGTGGGCTAACGTTTTTTGTATCTCCAGTGCGGGGAAATTCCAAGCTGGTTTGACTTTACTGCAACCAGCACCTTTAGTAAAAGAACCCTTTTGCTTTAACCTTAATGGAGTCAAGGATCTTTCTCTCCTAAGGGATAAAATTATATAAAATAAAATAACCCTGATTTGTCACCAGAGTATCACGACTCCTAAAATAAAATAGCTGTTTATACTATTTCTTAAAATGAAATAATATACATTGTTGTTTCCAATGGGAAAAAGTTCCTGGGAAAGGAAGATCCCAATAGCTCTTTTCAATAAATGGGAGGAGGGAAAATGCTTTCTACCGCCTCCTGCAACTCAATTTACAGCCACAATTAAGCAGGAACTTTTGTCACTGAGCAAGCCTGATTTTATGATCTTTTTGCTCAGTGGTGGTATTCTACCGGTTCGGCCCGGTTCTGCCATACCGGTAGCGCCGAAAATCAGCCAAGACTGAACCGGTTTTCTCTGAGGAGCTGCTGTTGGGCCCACCCACCCGCCTGGGCTCCCATACTGACCTTTATTCCCTGCTTTTGAAGTGCAGCTCTTTGCGCGGCACAGGAGATTGCCCGCCCCGTGTCAGCTGCTGAAGTAGCGGGGAGATTGCAGGATTGCATGAGGTGAGTCAGGAAGCCTCTGGCGCGCGCGCAAAGTGTGTGTTTGGCACGCGCCTGCACAAAGTGTGCCCATGAATCCACGCCCACCGAACCGGTGGTAAACTATTTTGAAACGTACACTGTTTTTGCTGCTGTTCTTAAGTGAACTACGTAGTTGTTAAGCAGATCCAGTTTCCCCCGTTGACTTTATCTAAAGCCTGTTGTGAAGGTTGCAAATATTAAGTACATGCCTTAAATTGTAAATACATGCTGATTACCAAATTTTGATCATTTGACCGGGGTGGGGGTGGGGGGGGCTCTGTGATTATTGTAAGTGGGTGACTAGTCAAAAGTCACTTTTTTCAGTACTGCTGTTACTTTAATAGCTAAACAAATGGTTGTAAGTTGAAGATTACTAGTATAGTTTTTGCCCCATAGAAGCTGATGAAGGAACCATCTCAACAAAGAAACTCACCCCGTTTCCAGAAACCTAAGAGTTGGATGAAGCCTATTTAAACCACAAAGTCCAGTGTTCAATACAGGGTCCAAATTAAAGTTTATAGTTTTAATGTTTTTTTGTGAAATGTTCAGAATTGTTCAGCATTGGGTGGCATATATATTGTGTGGTATTTACTATTCATACACTATTGCAGTGGCAATAGTAATTAAATAGTAGCTAAAGCATTAATATGCTTTTTAGAATAATTAAATCCTACTAAGAATATTTTTAAGAAGAGAAAGAGAATGGCATTATCCATGATGTAACACCTCTTGATTTTTCAATACCACCTATGGAGACAACAGAAAAAGCAAAGCAGCATTCTATGCCCACCTGGCAAATAAACTATAAATTTACGGGACAGACATTCTGCGCATGTTGTGTGTTGTTTTTTATCTCAGGATAGATAGATATATTGAACAGCATCTACTTTTGAAACTTGAATATTTTACATATTAACACAATAGTTTAAGGATAATACAATAGGATAATTTATATCTTTATTTTAGGAAATTTCATTATTTATTACAATTCTAATGATGTGAAATATTGTTCTGTAAAATAGAATTGTACAAAAAAAAGAATACCATGCACCACTTAAATTTTTTTCAAATACAACTTCCTGCTTTTAGTTTGCTTCAGAAATTTTACTTAACTATTTAATTAAGGATTTTCCTAATGGGAGTACCGGCCTCCTCTCCTTATATAACTGACATTCGCACCGAAGAACTAAGTTTTCTCATACTATGTCTGTACATTTTCCATCTAAATTTGAGGTCTATTAACCATCAAAGAATGTAACTAGATATAATTAAGTGTTACATGTATGATCAATAATCAATAAGTAATTTATTGAACCTAATGTAAAAGCCATCCTCTACCCACTATTTTTATTCTGTGTTTTATTTTACCAAATCTGCAAAACTATACAATATATATCAACATTTGAGGGATGTTATGTGATAATTAGAAAATATAGCTTAATCGGAATCATATATTTAAATCTAATCTCTTGCTAGATTTTCACCTTGTACCTAATGTGGTATGGAAATAAAACTATACATTGTATACACTGTAATACAGAAATGTGCCTGGATCATGAAGGGAGTACCCAGTAAATCCTATTATTGTATCTTGCTTCCTAAGTAGTCTAATGTAGTCTAAAGACTAATATGCAATATAAAAATGAAATGAAAAAAGGAACCAATATTCTGGAGAAAAAAATATGTGGCAGAATGGCAGACTCTGGAGAAAGCTGATTTTCTGATAGTCTTCTGATAGTTCAAATAAAAATAGCAGAACCTAAATAATAATGATAATAGTAAGCAAAACAAGTTGTATTATCTCACCATTATACTGTGATTTATTACATTTTCTCATCCTTTCCTTTACTTCGTTACTTTACTGCCATAATTGCAAACATGAAATTGAAACTTTTAATATCCTCCTTCAGCAACATTATGAGCTTGAATCAATTTACAAAGTCCATAACAACCCTAATTGAGACTGGCAATTCTGTTGCTAAGTGATGTGGTCATTAAACAAAACATGTGACCTAGATCCAAGCCATTTTTGGAAGAAGAGACTGCCTCCACTGCAACTCCCACCTTATCTCTGCCTTCATTATTTTATTATTATTTTAATATGGGTTTCCTGTTTCTTTTTATGTTTAGTAAGTTGATTCCTTCTTAAACTTGTTGCAAGATATATATTTGAAATGATAATCATAACTAAATAGAAAATTTGCATGTTTAATTCACACTGATTTTTAGTACATTTCAATTGAAGAAAAAACTGACAGACACACAATGAGTATAGGATTACATATATATAACAATATGCCTTGCTATAATACAATTATGGCTGCATGAAAAAAACAACTTGATGACTGATAAAATCCCAACTCATCTGAGGTTCTGTCAAATGGAACATTAAATGCATTTTGAACGTAAGCACTAATGTTTAATTTCAACTTCTTAAAATTAGATCTTGGCTTAAAAAAAAAGTTAACATCAAGCTATTTAAACTGAATAGGATTGGATATAGAAAAGCTTTTCTCCAGCTTTCAAACTGTGGAGGGGCAGAATATTTCTGCAATACACATGGTTAAAATCCATGTTGTCCAGAAACAAATCTTTTCAAAGGAATTGTGTTTGGTAAGCTGCCTTTTGCATGAAAGCAAGCAACATGGTAATAACCTTATGCAAAAATATTTTTTTCAAACTGTTTAATTTAACTGAAAACTATAGGCATATCATTATAAAAATCTAAATATATCAGAAGCTCTCAACATTTTAGCTACACTGATTTTTTTTATAACTTTGTAAAGGAGAAACAAATGGTCAAATAAAAAGAGTAAGTTACCCAAGCCTTGTGTTCTAACCAAACTACTTACAGTTATTTCAATGGCAAATGGCCAAGGTGATACATCACAATTTTGAATACCTTTGCAATAACTTTATTTTGTACAGAAGAACGAAATTATTCATATTTGCCACATTCATTTTAAGCATTCTGCATTTCCTTTCCAATCTTATAGCTCAGTATCTTATTCCAGTCAATCTTTGTGCGAGTAACTGGCAGTTGTCGGCGCAAAGCCTTGAAAGTAGTGTCCGACATTGTTTGATAATTTTCACTGATAGCAGTCTGTAACAAAAAAGAAAACATTTCTTAAAGAATGACAATTTGTTGATATAAAGCAACACATTTCCAACTGTATACTTTATCATTATGTTCTAAAACTTTATTCCATATCTTTATTAGATAAACTTGATATTCTAAGATTAAATAAAAACATAATATACTGTAAATCAAACCTTAGCATATTTTAACAATAATAGAGTTAAATATATTACCTCACTGAGAAAAAATTATAGTTTATATCTTATAATTATAAATATAATTTATTCTAATTTTGTAAGATCAAGAATGCTTTTACATTGGATCTTGGACTTTCTTCTTCAATCTGCCTTTGGAATATGGATTTCCTGTCTGGCTGCTCTCAGAGGGTCAGATTAGGTAATCATATCTCTTCAATCCTTATTACTGTACACCACAGGGTTGCGTATTCTATACTCTTTATGTGCATGACTGAATTCCCACTCATGCTAGTAATATTACTAAATTTGCAGATGATACAGCAGTGGAAGGACACATCTCCGGGGGGATGCGTCTGCCTATAAAGATGAGGTGGACTGGTTGCTTTCGTAGTATAGAGACAATAACTTGGCCCTTAACACCAATAAAACTAAGGAGCTTATAGTGGACTATACATGGAATAGATCAGATATCCAGCCCTTGCTTATCAATGGAGACTGAGTGGAACAAGTGGCTAATTTTAAATTTCTGGGTGTTATCATAAAAGAAGACCTGACCTGGAGTGCTCACATTGCAGCCCTGGTCAAAAGAGCCCAGCAGAGATTATACTACCTGAGACTTCTCAGAAAACAACTGAATGAAAAATTGCTGGTGACCTTCTACCGCTGCATCATAAAGAGTATTTTAACTTACTGCACCTGTGTATGGTTTGCCAATTGCACAGTGGCAGATAGGAAAGCACTCCAGAGGGTTAATGCCTTTGCCCAGAGGATCATTGGTTTCCCTCTCCCCTCTTTAGAAGAGCTTTATAGCTCCCGCTGCCTTAAGAAAGTTCAAAACATTCTCAAAGATCCATCTCATCGTGGGAACCCTTTTTTTGAACTATTACCATCTGGCAGACAGTACAGAATAATAAAAACAAGGACAAATAGGGCTGAAAAACAGCTTCTATCCCAGGGCAGTAACTATACTGAATTCCACTGTATAGTGCAATATTAATGCAATATCGGGTTTTCAATTCAATCGTATAGAAGGTGAAGGATGTGTGTTTGTATTTTATTTTTAGAGTTATAATATATACTGAAGAGGGCATTTAATTTCGTTGTACTAGGTGCAATGACAATAAAGTAAACTAAACAAGATGAAACATTCCTTTCTCAGCATCTGTTAAAATTAAGAACTCAAGATTAAATCAACTGTATCATACAACAGTGGAGAAAAGAGGATCAAGCAAGCTATAGTGGATTGGAGTTTGGCGACTTCCAGTTGCGGCGCTGCAGCAGTGTGGGGAGGAAAGAATGGTCTCCGTCTTTTCAGCCCCAATCTGCACATCTGGTGGCCTCTTGAGGGGCACAAAGATCTTGGAGGGATCAGTGAAAATCTGAGACAGCCCAAGGTGGAAGCGGACAGAAGGCGACTGTCTGCTGCGCTGTAGGGAAAGCTCGGAAACACCAGTGTGTGAGTGATCAGCCATGAGAAGCTGACCGAAGCCATGGCGAGCACTTCGTATGAGGAAGGAAAAATAGTGACAGCAGTATTGAAATTCAACTAAACTAAAAACAATTGTGTAGAGGCAAAGAGTGATTGTTGGTGAGGAGCGAACTGAGAGCAGATTGGCAGAACTGTAAGTCTCGGAGCGTGGGTGGAAGCCCAGCGGAGAAGCGGTGATCCAGCAGGGAGAGCATTGGATTTAAAATAAGACGCTAAAGCCAAAGGGACTGTGTTACCAGTAGCGTTGCATTGGATTTTTGAGTATCAGAGAGAGAGAGAGACTGAAAGACGGAGAGAGGGGGACTAATGATAGAGGATAAAAGTGTGGGGACGATCAGAAGAAAGAAGATACAGCTAAAGGAGCTGGTTTAAGTTGGACTGAATAATGAGACGATCATCTTGATTCCAGAAAGCAGCTGATGCAATAATGGATGACAAAGCAAAAGACTCATTACTAGGAACGAAGCACTAGATCCGTAGAAAGAAAGAAGAAAAAGTTGAATAAGTGCTACTGTTGAATGTTAAATGAATTGATGATTTAGATTAATGAACTGTTTGTGATCTAAATGTATAATATATTATCTGATTAACTAGTTAATTAATTTTGGGAATTAATTTGGGACAAGAATGATTAATGTTTAACACGTTTAGTAGAAGGAACTGATTAATCGTGAATGAACTAAGTATTAATAAGGAATTGAAGAATATTTAAGAATCATAGAAAACTTTTAGAGTAACTTTTTAGTAACTTTTAATAATTTAAACAAATAGATAGGCATTAAGAAAATTGTTTGACTGTGTATATATAAAAATAGTATTACTAGAAATTAATATTGGTGAAGAGCGATTAGAGGTCTAACATATTTAACTGAATGAACAGATAGAACATATAGAACTTAAAGTTAAAATGGTTTAAAATAGGATATAAATTTTATTTTAAAGGATACCTCCTCTACATAATATTACTTTCTTCTTTGGAATTTAGTATTCTACCACTGTTTTGTAGTATTAATAACATAAAACCTCATACCTTTTGCTAGAGAAAAACTAGTTTAACAACTATAAAGTGCATAGAAGTAAATTGTGGGTGGTAAATTGGGAAGAATTATATAATAAAGAAATATGACAACCACAACAACCACCTTAAAAGGAAAGAAATCAATTTCAAGTTCATCAATATCCATCACATCCCTGGGACAGAAAACAATAGAAGAGACGCTGGCTGTGGATAAAGCGAATAACTCTGCAAGTATGCAAACAATGCAAGCGACCCTGATATCTATCCAGGAAATGATGTTGAAAGTGCAAGAGAAAATGTCAGAAAAATCATCAATTTGAAGACAGAAATGGGGGAGATGAAGGGCAGAAGATCCAGAAACTTGATGGAAAAATAGAAACAATACAACGAACAATGGAAAAGAATGAACAGAAAATTAAGAGCATAGAGGTAAAAGCAGAGCAAACAGAAAAGAGAATGGAAGCAATGGACAGGAGAGTGATGGAAATGAATAGAGACCTGGAAGACTCAATAATTCAACTTGAGATGGAGCGCACAGCATTCTATTTGCAATTCCAAAACGTGCAAGAAACAAAAGAAGATGATCTAGGAGCCACAATGGCACAACTAATCGCAGAAGCATTAGAAAGAGACCAGCAAGAAATTACAAGAGAATTAGACAAGGTCTACCGGGTACATACAAATTATGCAAGAAGAAACAAGTTGCCAAGGGAAGTGCAGGTAAGATTTGCATGGAAAATCGTGAGAGATATTGTCTACAAGATGACGAAAGACAAACCAATGACATTTAAGGACAAAGAAATAGTGACTTTAAAACAAATTCCAAGATGTGTGAGGGAACTAAGAAAAGTGTATAATTTTTTAGCATCACTTCTAAACAGTGTATTTGGTTCAGTTGGTTGGTGCAGGAGGGAATGCTTGTGACCTGGCAAGAGAGAAGAATACGAATCGATACCATCGAAAAAGCACAGGAATTGTATGAACAGCTAGCGGGAGTAGAAAAAGAAACAAGCAGTAAGGAAGAACTGGAAAATAAGAACCAAGAAAACCATCAGGAGGAGCAACAACAAGAGGTGTTAGAAGAACAAGAAGGAGGAGATAAAGAAGAAAGAGATAGACCAAGAAGAGAAGGACTGCGAACAAGACCCCAGAGAGAAGCAACGACCAATAGAAGACCAAGACAGACCTACTATTAATAAGATGGAAGAAGAAATTAGATTAATTTCACTAAATATCAATGGATTGAATTCCCCGACCAAGCGAAGGCTAATGTTAACAAAATTAACAAAACAGAATTTTGATATTATATGCTTTCAAGAAGCACATATCCAAAAAAATCAGAGTAAATATTTGGAATTCCCAAAATTAGGAGAATTGTATGTAGCATTGGCAAATCAAAAGAAAAGAGGGGTAGCTATGTATATAAAAAGGGGATGAATGCAAAACAAATTTATGCAGAAGAACAGGGCAGAATCCTAATGGTACAACTGGAGATATCACAAAAACAAGTATTGTTAGTGGGAATATATGCACCAAATGTGAATCAAAAAATGTTCTACCAAAAATTATATGATAAAATAGTGGAGACAGGACAGGCTAATGTATGCTTGATCGGGGACTTTAATGCCATAGTGGATAGTGAAAAAGATTATATTGGCAAAGAACAAAAAAAAGGGGGGGGGAGAACTGTCTACCAAAACCATTCTTTGACTTAGTACAAGAAACTAACCTAGAGGATATATGGCAGAAAAGACACCCAAATAAAAAAGAGTATGCATTCTACTCAAACCCCCACCAATCGCGGTCCCGAATATGGTGTGGACAAATAAGACAACTGGAAACAAAATATCCAAAGTAGAAATAATGCCCAATATATTGGCAGACCACAACCCATTAAAAATTAGCTGGAAAGGACAAAGGAAACAGAAAATGAGATGGACGCTAAACACACAAATCCTAAAAGAATATATACAAAAAAATGAAATAGAAATATTTTTCAGTGTAAATTTAAAGGACCACACTAATTTGCAGAATTTATGGGATACAGCACAAGCTTTTATGAGAGGGGTATCAATAGCTTATATAATTAGAAAAAACAAGATAGAAAAGAAACAACAAAACGAACTACAGATGAAAATTAAAGAACTAGACTTCAAAAGGAGCCAAAGAATTGAGATAATTAAAAAAGAAAGAATGAAGACTAGACATAAATTAAACTTAACATTCCTAGAAGAAAGACCACGAAACCTAAAATCTATAAAACAAAACTTTTTCGAATCAGCTAACAAACCAGGCAGATGGCTAGCCCATAAACTAAAAG